CCCCCCCCCACCTCCGGCGAGCAGGAAACGCGTGGCCTGGCGGAGGGCCGCGAGGTGGGGGAGGCCTTGCTAGGGGAGGGGGCGGCCCCATGCGGCCAGGCCTGGGTCCACCTAACCGCTGCCACCGGCTCTAGTGATGGGATGTGGGCCAGGCCAGTTCCCCAGATTTTAGGTTGAAGCTCATCTGGGACCCGGACACCCGCAAAATAACCAGCCTCTGCAAAGCCTCCCTGGGGCTCCCGAAAGAAATCCTGTTTGGCTTCCTCTGTCTATGCAGCTCCCCTCTCAACTGAAACCACTAGTCTAAGACAGCCACAATCCAGATATACTAGCAAGTCATAAAACTGAACAAAAGCCGACAAACCTTACGGCACCAGGGCTATAGGGCCCAGACAAATTACGACCGTCTAGGTAATATTTAAATAGATGCCTAAAGTAATTGCAGGGGTCTCGGGATAGTCCTCCTGTTGTAAAAGTGGTGGACAGGATAAAGTGGAAGGTGAAGATAAGAAGTCAAAAAAGAGTTAAAATTAAAAAGCTTCATTCCACAGCTTTTATTCTATAAGAACATAAACATTGTCTTTTTTTTCCACGCACAGCAGCAATACAATATTAATTTATTCTGATTTAAGATTAGAAGTAAATAGAGCTAGAACTAACATTTATAATAACGATAGAATGCATTTGCTTAAAACAAGATTGGTAATTTTTCATAATAATAGACATTTATACAGATTTGTATTTATAGTTTTTTTTCTTTTTCTGCACCTACAGGTTTGACCCTTTTATGCATGTAACTTCACAGTATAAAGGAAATCCAAACAATGTCTCCCTTCTCTAGTTTATTCCCGCTTGCCCCAACCCTCCTAGGCTTCCATGAATTTCAGAAAGAAAAAAAAAGTAAAAAAAATAAAATAAAAAACTCCACAAGACAAGATAGGGAGAATTGTGGTGTGCTTGTCACATGTCACCAGTGGCAACAAATTTAATGACCAAAAAATCCACTAGTTCCACATGTATAAACAAAACTAACTATAGCCAGAAGAATATGGAAATTCAGAGGCAAATAAAACATTTTAGCCAGGCAATGCAAGACGTTACACTAACTGGAAGAGAAGTTTCCTTCTCTTGGACATTCTTTTATTCTTTTAGAGCTGAGATATCTTACAAAGGAAGGCTAAATTAATCTTTCTTTTTCTCACTTTTTCAATCAGCCGAAGTCAAGCCCTTTGCCAACTTGTATGTTTGTGCCTGGAAGCCCTTCTCTTGGCCAAGGAAGAAAGGAAGAAAGAAAAAGAAACCCAGGGGCCTGTATCCCCTGATTAAACACAGCCCAGCACTCCAGGCAGGCGCGCCCGGTGGCGGCTCCTTGCACCATTGACCTCAGGCCAGACACCTCAGCGCCGACAATGGGACCTAGGCCTTCCGGGCTAGGTTTGCCCCGGGTTGGGGTTGGGCAGGAAATCAGCTCCACCAGGAGGACAGGGGCCATTTCTAGCAGCTGGGACCCCAAGACGGCAAACCAGCCCAGTCACCACTTGACACTTAGGACAATACCTATCTCTACAGAATTTTAGCGCGATATGGCTTTTTCCCCCAGAAAACAACAAATAAACCAGCACCAAGCAAACAGACAAAGAAACAAAAAGTCAGAACAAACCAGCCCTGCACAGATGAACGGCCCAGGAGATGGCGAGTGTGGGAGGGAGGAATGGGGGTCCGGCACAGGTGCGAGTTCCTGGGCAGAGGACGGAGATAGAGGGAGGGGACCGGCGCTCTGGCAGCGGGGAGAAAACAAAACAAAAACAAAAACAAAACAGCGTCGCCTGGAGCTTCATCAGGAAAAATTAAAGTTGGCTGTAAGCTCCCGGATCCGGTTTTCTCGGTTCATTTTCTTCAGTTTCATCCTGCGGTTCTGAAACCAGATTTTCACTTGTCTGTCCGTGAGGTGGACGCTGCGGCTGATCTCTAGGCGCCGCTCTCGAGTAAGGTACATGTTGAACAGAAACTCCTTCTCCAGCTCCAGCGTCTGGTGCTTCGTGTCGGGGCAGCGTTTAGCTCTTAGCCGTGAGCCAGTTGGCTGCGTTTTCGCCTTTGGAATTGCCTGGCGTTTAAGAGAATAAAGGGGGAGTTAAGTCGAGGCCACGCGGGCAATGTGCAGGGATGAATTCCTGACGTCTCTCCCCCATCAGAGGGATGCTCGAAGTCACAGAGAGGGGGTATGCCCCCCTTTGGCTCAAAGAGAGCTAGCAGCTCCTCAAAGGCCTAGCAAAACAATCAAGTGGGTCTTTAATCTACACCCACCTTCCCAATTTACATTTTCCTCCAGTTTTTTTTTTTTCTTTTTTCTTTTTTTTTCTCCCTAAACACCTGTTTTGGCACAGGCTGCTGGAGTTTGTAGAACGAAAGGCCCTGGAGGGCAGGCTGTACATCTTGAACTTAACGCCTTTCTTTGCTTCTGGCCTTAAGGCAGATGAGCATTTCTTGCAGCCCCCAGGCTGGGGATGCAGGGTGCTTACTGCGAAGGGGGACGGTGCAGCTAGGCTGTCTCACTCCAGCTCCCCTGGTTGCTCAAGGGCAGATGAGGAGAGGGAAAGGGGCCAACAGGGAAGGCAGAAAAAAGGACCCTTGATTAGAGAGTCAAAGGCCCTCCTTCAGGTATCTAGAGGAGGCAGGGGTGTGTGGCTGGGTAATTCCGAGTTCCAGGGGAAGCTAACAGGCTTCTTTCTGGTTCTCGACTCAGGGACCCGGCGTCCAGACCGATTTGCCTCTTCTTCTCCCCGCAACGAGGATTCCCGCCCCGCCAGCAACTTTGAAAAAAAGCATGGGGGATCGTAAACTCGAACTTCGCCGGTTAATGGGCTTATTTATTGGCGCTGGCGGCTGCTTATTTTGGATGCCTTACAAACATCCGCGCTATCTGCGGGCGAGCCACTTGCCCTCCCTCCTCCTCCCCCCCGCGTGGGCCGCGCCGTGCAGGCTGGGCCGGGACCAGGGCTTGGGGTGCTCAGGGCCACAGGGAAGAGCACGAACACAAGGGGGGCTGCTCGCTGATGTCCTTGCCCCTAGTCAGGGTGAGCTCGGGCCAGTTCCTAGGACGTCTTGGTGTGGGGCGCTAAGCCGGACATGAATTTTTACTGCGTCCCCACGCCCAAATATTAAAAAGCAAGTTCAGAAGGTCAGCCTGCCTGCAGCTTGGGCCAAGGCCGGCCGGCTGCTGGGCGGGCTCCTGGTTCTTTGCTCCCTCTGTTCCCTTCCATGGCTCTGCCGGTCTGTCTGCCCTCCTGACTGCAGCCCTCCGGTGCGCCCTGCTTACCCAGGGAGTCCTTCTCTGGCGAGGCTTTGCTGCTCTCGGAAGGGGCCGGGGAGAGCTCCTCGGCGGCAGAGGACGACGCGTGCGCCTCCTCGTCGCCCTGAGAGCCCCCGCCGCC